AATTACCAACACATATTAATTCCATACTTTCTCCTCAATTTGACAACCTAAATTCAAACTAAAATCACCAACACATATTTAGGCCATGCAACAAGAATACTAAATATAAAGGATGATTTATTTAAGGTATCAATAAAATTTAAAACATTTACACTCTTTTGAGATTCTTCTCGGTCTGATTTTAAAAAGAGTTGTTATTTTAAGGAGTAAATGAAGTTTGAATGACTAGTCAAAAGATTGTTTGTGCCGATGGTTTTGTAGAGTTACAGCCCCGTACATAAAACTAAATGATCTACGGTTATTCTATTACTATTGTTAGTCCTTTTTTATTTAATATTTATTATTATTAATTATTATTTTTTCATTTCAATAGAATGTGAAAATAACATTTAGGTCTTTGTTAGTCAGCGCCGTACATAAAACTGAATGATCTATTGTTATTCTATTATTTTTGTTAGTTTTTGGCAAGAAAGTAATATATAAAAAAATAATATTTATATAAAATTGAACTCTGCAACCATCTACTTTACAATCTGTAAACCAACAGAGTGCCAGAATTTTTCAGAAACTTTTTGAATATGAACAAAGGCTCATATTATCACAATAAGTGTTTCAGCACAACAACTGTAACCTTCTTAAGCGACCGAGGCTAAATAGACGGGATCGCTTAAGCGACATGTGCTATCGCTTAAGCGATTAAGGATTAAGGGTAATTTACTTCAATATTTCTTTTCCAAGTTTATGGATATATGTTTAATATAGATATAAAAGCCAAGTACCTAATTTTCTGGATCTGCATGTGATTTATTTAGGCAACTACTTCTCTTGTGGCTAGGTTGCTTGCAAATTGAGCACTTATTCATCTTTCGGGGAACCTCAGAGGCTGATGGAATACATTTAACTCTTTTTCTGCCCTTTTATGTCTTCTTGAATGTCGGATGGATGATAATGTCAGCAAACTCTACCGGCACTACCCATTGCTCTTCTGGAGGAACTGGATATATCATTTCTGAATAAGCCAGCATGTAGTGATTTGCCATATAAAGAGGGGAGCAAAGTTCCATGTAAATTTTAGTGCTGCTAGTGCATGAGGACAAGGTAAACGTTGAATGTCAAGCACTTTACAACTGCAAGTTTTACTAATAAGGTTAACTAGGGCATCCGGACCATAGCCGTGCACGGTGAACTCTTAAGCATTAAGAAGATAGGCAAACAGTGCATTTGACAGTTCCATACGTTCTCACAATAATTTTTCAACTAATGGAACGTTGATCCGTACGACGCTCATGGAACCACCGTGATAATGTCCTCTGGATTGCATCAAAAAGTGCAACTATTGGAAACTTTCTTTCTATTAAAAACTTCGAATTTATGGACTCGGCTATGTTCGAGTCATGACATCAAACCTTCTTCCAGGAAAGTAAGCTCTACTTCATCGCTCGAAACCAACATCATGCTCAAGATACTTAGCAACTCTATCATCCTTGATTCGGATTTGCCGGAAGTGCTTCTCGAACTCATCAACCCGATAAGCTTTTGCTGCCATGTAGTATGTCTGAAGGAGGCCAACACACTTAAACTTTTGTTTTATGTTTTACCAAGGTGCCTCATACAGAATCTGTGATGTGCTTGAGGGTAAATAGTGGCAATCCCCTTCTTTATAGAGTTGTGCCTATCGATATTATGCACAACTCGTCACTGTCAGGCACTATCGTACGTAATTGCTGAAAAAACCAAGTCCACGACTTGTTATTCTCAGAGTCAACCACACACCATGCAGCATGATATGTGTGATTCTCGTTGTCCTGTGCAATGGCCACAAAAAATGTACCTTCATACTTTCCCGTCAAAAAGCAACCATACACAATTCTCATGTTTACAAAACCTCTTATAGTAGAACCGTAAGCAACAAAAAAATATTTAAACATCATATTCCTGTCCCACTTCAGAGCCGTCTTGCTATCTTGGTTTGTCAACTCACGCATATAATGGTACGCTTCTAATACTGTGTACTGGTGCTCTGGCGTGTCTCTCACAAAATCTTGTGCATGTTGTCTCCCTTTTCAGCATTTCCAGTAACTAACAACACATCCCAACTCTGTGCGCATAAGTCTCTGAATGTCTTTAGGAGATGGATCTTTCCCTTCAACGAATTGACTTTTGACAAATTGTCCAATAACATCAGCGGAGGCTTGTTGATGTTCACCTGAAATATGTCCCAAACCACATGTGTGCTCATGGGTATATATGCTAAGAATAAATTTTTGGGACTTCGCCAACCTTCTACAATAAACCCGCCACTTGCACTTTCGGTCACGACATACAACTGTCAAAACTGATGAATATGACTTTTTGGTGATGAACTCAAAATTACCTCTCACGACAACAAGTTTTAGCTTCCTCACCACTTCTACTTTGTTGTCAAATAAATACCCTATGCGTAACTTTGATCCATCTGTAAAAACATGAGCTGATTCACTACTACCTGCAATTGCCTCCTCTGAACCTGCATAAATGACCATAGTGTTCTCTTCCTCATATACGGGGTCCTCCTCCTTAACATTTTTGTTCTGCCGCACATGACCAACCTCTTCTATAGTGTCCTCCTCACCACCCAAATCACCGCTTACTATTGATTTATCAACTAACAAATTAATGCTCTCGTAGTTCAAATTAAAGCCAGGCAAATCTCCGCCAACTTTCTTGTTATCCCCTTCCTTTGAACCAACTTCCAACGGTTTTTCTACAAAAGAAACCCTTAAAATCGGCCTCGAACCATTATCGGCCACATCAATCATATATAACTTCACACTTTCATCTGAATTTAATGTAGTAGGAGGTACGTTATAATGTTTAGGAACTCTACTTAAAACATACTTCACAACTATATCACTACGTGAGCAACTCAAATCACCTCTTCTAATTATTTCATCAATCAACTCATCAAAACTAACCTCTGTGCTCACAGCAATTGGTATAACTTCTTTGCTCTTCCCAATCCACTTCCAGCAACTTTCTTCCTCCACCCACTCACCAAAATATTCAACTCCCAAAATACCTTGTCCTATGTCTAATAATAGCCAAGTACCTATAATGCAAGAAAAAAAATATTATTAACTGATCTATTAAGGGTTGAAAGATTTTAAAAAGCATTTGCACAGTTGCTTAAGTGATCTGGTATATCGTTTACTAGATCGCTTAAGCGATATAATTATAAATAAGCCTGATCGCTTAAGCGATCTTATGTCATTTACCTGATCGCTTAAGCGATCTGTTGCTATACACCAGACTTTTAGCAGATCGCTTAAGCGATCTTATACCACATACCTGATTGATTAAGCGATCTACGAAATGTTGCACTATACCACACATACCAGATCGCTCAAGCGATCCATCATATCCAGAACACATTTTCAGCCATCTCCACCTACAATCGGTGCTACCACCCTCAGCTACCCACAATGCAAGAAAATATTCAACAAATTTCACTCCTTTCAACTTCCATTACATCAAACACAACCCAATAACCTAAATAACTAAATTAAAATCATAACCCAAACCCAATCCATCATTAGACTTTTGTAAATCGAAATATAAAATAGAAAGGGGAGATACACATACCTGGACGAAACGTTAGGAGGAGGAGGAGGAGGATCTGTGGCGGAGAAGATGTTAATGGTGGAGGAAGAAGATAGTGTTAATGGCGGGAAGAAGAAGATGTATAGGACAGAGGAAGAGGAAGATGCTTAGGAAGAAGAAGATGCAGAAGAAGAAGAAGAAGAAGTTGTAGACGAAGCTTACAACCAAGGGAGGGATCCGTTAAGGTGGTGGGAGGAGGAAGAAGAAAGTGTTTGGGTTTGTTTGCAAGAATTTCGGTTCTTTGGGGACATATTATAATTTTTAAAAGATTACACAATACTTTATTAATCCTAATTAACCCCTAATCATGTTTAATTAGCCTTAATAAAAAACAAGGCTATTTACTTAACACTTTCAAACTACATGACCTTTTAATTAAATTTGAACTCCATATGGTCTTTTAATAAAATGCCCCTTCTAGGGATGTACATACTCGGACCTGGCCGGGCAAGTCCAAGCCCAGTCCAAGAAAAAGCCTAAGTTTTAAATGCTCGGGCTGGGCCGGATTGGGTCGGGCTTATCCGCTCTTTAAACCTGGGTTTAGTTGAAAAATTAAATGGCTTTTAAAATTTTACTTGATATAGGTATTGGATGTAATTTTGCTATGATGTTACTTTAATAAAAAAGTTGTAGAGGTAATTTTCACTTTTTAGGGGGTTGTATGTAATTTTTTTATAAAATACAGGTTATTTTTAAATTTCAATAGCGTACTTGACTCATTTTCCAAGCTAATTACGTTAATTTCTTTGAAGATTTTAAAATAATATAAATCTACTGCTATTAAGTTTTAAGTGTTAAAATAAACGATAGAAAAACAATTTGGTAGGTATCTATCAACTCGTAAATTGTAATATTATAAGTTCTAACTGTTCATTAAGTGTTCACTAACAATAGGGGAAGTTTTGTTATTTCAGAAATTCTAAGGAGAATTTGTTATCACATCAAACCTCAGGGGGCTGAATGGCTGATGTCCTTCATTTAAAATTTTCATTATACTTTGGTTTTCTGTAATTTTGCAATCCTTAGGGGAGAGTCCCTGTAAATTGCCCAGTGAGTCAGGCCGATATTTTTGGGATGCTGACATGTCAAAAAGTAATTGGATCCAGGAAGTCAACTGACGTGGCTCACTCAGAAAGTACCCGCATCTGTCCAGACCTTTATTACCTTTCCCTACCAAATTACGCCTTGACGCCTTGTTACCAAAACAATTACAGTTCCAACTCCGTGACCACCTTTACAACTACCACCATAATGGTCCAATAAATTTCCGCCACGTATCACCCAGCCCTCCTAACAAGACAATCTCCTGACCCATCATTGGCTGTGACGGGAGTTGTATGAACGCCCTCTTCGATTGTCAACAGCTATTAAAAGATCGAAATTTAATCGTCAAACAGCTAAGGTAAAACTAAAACCCTATCTAACTGATCGCTGCGTCTTCAAAGTCTTCGATCTGCTCGTTTGGAGAGAGAAGACGCTATTCAGATCCTTTGTTTCTCTCTCTCTTCTGTTAGGTTTGGTTCCGATTTGATTTTCTCAGAAAATTTTGGAGAATTCTTGTTTAATTTTTGTCTTATGATTTGATTTGTTTGGTTTGTAGGGTTTTGTTCGTTGTTTCGTTTATTTTTGACGTGATTCGGAGGCGGAATTGAATAAGAGTAGCCATGAAGAACAATGAACGGATAGCGAATTTGGCTTTGGCAGGTTTGTTTTTCTTGATCACAAGTGTTGTTAGTTGTTACTGTTTCTCATTGATTTGTTTTTGTGTTTGTTCTTATGGATTCAAGATTTTGGGTCAGTAATTTAGGAATACTGTGAAGAAATTTTGAAAAAAAAAAAAATATAGAGTTTTGTTGACCTGGCTTGATATTTGGAGAGAATAGAGGAGAATCTTACATGTTTTTGGTGAATATTTGGAACGTGGAGGATATGCCTGTATTTTAGTTAAATTTCAAGCGAGGCTAGTCAATTTAGGCAAAAGAAAAGAAGGATATATAATTTTTAGATGTGCCTAGTAAAAAGCATAACAGAGAGGGTAGGTTTTTATATTTTATGTCTTGAATATGATTCACTTTTGCCTGTCGAGGAGCTTGATCGATTTTCATGGAATGATTAATGGTTGCAGGTTTAACGTTGGCACCACTTGTTGTGAACGTAAACCCAAACATAAATGTTATCTTGACAGCATCCCTCACAGTTTATGTGGGATGCTACCGATCTGTCAAGCCAACTCCACCATCAGTAAGTACTGCTTGTATTGATGCACTGTATTTCTGTTTCTGTTCTTTCCCTGTCTAATTGCTGGAATAACTTGTCTGTATTTTGTTTTGTTTATCACACAGGAGACTATGTCTAATGAGCATGCTATGCGCTTTCCCTTTGTTGGGAGTGCAATGTTGTTGTCACTGTTCTTACTCTTCAAGTTTCTTTCAAAAGACTTGGTTAATGCTGTGTTGACTTGCTACTTCTTTGTTCTGGGGATCATCGCTCTTTCGTATGTTCTTTTCATATGAATTCAGTGCTGTCTATATTATATTTTATAGCATATTGAACTAATTTAATTTGCATCACGATTTCATGCATTATGTCTTCCTTTAAAGGGCAACGATCTTACCTGCTATAAAACGGTTCCTGCCACAGCATTGGAATGAGGACGTTATTGTCTGGCGTTTTCCGTATTTCCGTTGTATGTAACCTTCTTTCAGCTCTTTTTTGGGGAAAATCTAGTTATAAATTCTCTTAAAGCAGATTCTCAAATTTTAATATATTTTTCTTATTTTTTCTTGTGACATAGTTCACTAAATGTAGTTATGAATTCAGATTTTCAGTTGTTTTTTGTTGCTCTATTCAAAAAATGAACATATGTGGATTTTGCCTTTGATATCTGTTAGTTTTGGAAGTAATGGAAATAGGTGTGAAAAATGGAGGCATTACAAAATGAAAAAGGATTAGGCTTTTGTTGACACAAAGGAAATTAGTTTCCATCGAGCAGGCTGTATTACTGTTTGCTTCCAATTTTTTTCTTCTTTTTTCCTTTATTTTTTTGGCTTAGAGAATTGTACGTACGCGCTCAAGTTTATTTAAAATCTGTTTCTTCCCCTGCCAGCCCAAACTCGCTTTAATTAATAGGAGTGTTGCCATTCGGCCTATAGGTTATTGGCTCGTATCACCATTTGTTAGTATTTTGTGGTGTCTTCTTGTTGCATCATTACTTGTAGCAGTGTCCTCTGTACAAACACCATCAAAAACTAGAATGAGATTGCTCTAGTGTCATAATTTGTTATTTGGGACATTGCTCAAGAGTCTGCTCTGGTTTTTATGCGTCATAAAAGCAATGTGTCTATCCTACAGTGACCCTATATAGACACTTCAATGGAAACTTTTAGCTTTGTGCATAGTGGTTTTTCTCTTTTAAATAGTCTTTCTACGTTTTAGAGTACTATGCCAGTCTAATGTTTCTCAGAATTGTCATTTGATCCCATCGCATTATCTTGCTTGTATTATGCAGAATGATGTTTTTCTTTACACATTTCTTACACAGCTTTGGAGATTGACTTCACAAGGTCTCAGATTGTTGCAGCAATCCCTGGGACCTTTTTCTGTGCATGGTATGCTTCCCAGAAACATTGGTTAGCTAACAATATTTTGGGCCTCGCATTCTGCATTCAGGTTTGGATCTATTCAAAAAGATATATATGTGTTGTTTGTGCCTCTATTTGCTGAAATATTTTTCTAATTTTGATTTACGAATCTTTACCTTTTTTTTATATAGCATAACTTTATTGTGCAATCTAATTTATAAGTTTTATAAAGTTGCAATTTTCTGTTGGCTAGAGAGTGCTTTTTAATCAATGTTTAATGAATACATTATCTCTTCCATAGCTTGTTATAACACATTTCTTTCAGATCTCTCTATTTTTTATCTACAAGAGTTGTTATCTGTGTTGTTACTTATGATTTTGATGGGCGTTCTTTTTTCACTCTTGCTGTTGTTTATTATCAGAGTTGGAAACTGAAGTGTTTCTTTAGCAGTTCTGTTTCTATTTTCTTTGGTTCAGTTATCTCAATTTCGGGCATTGCGTTGAGTGTGATTGTTTATATCTGTGCAAACATGGGCTGTATGGAAAAGAAATAGGATTTATTGAGATTCACCACTTGCTTTCATGTTGTAATCATCTATAGTTGACTGTGCATATGTTGATTAACCTTTGTGATATCAAGGACTTCCTTTTTGTGTTATTTGCAGGGAATTGAAATGCTTTCTCTTGGGTCTTTCAAGACTGGTGCCATTCTTTTGGTAAGGAATCTTGTTTTTCAACGATTAGTTCCTAAAAGTAGGGATAAGTGACAATTGGATCTTAGATTTGTATTTGTAATATATATGTAGCAATTAAACTACCATTTATCAAGGGTTAATAATTTTCTTGTGGAAGTGAATAGTTATTTTAATAAATTTTCTTGCAACACTGAGGCTCTAAAAAGAAAGGAAATAATAAGATTTTGTTCTTAGCATATTATTTCCCCCACACCCCCTTTTTTTGCCTCGTCTGCTGGTAGAGCTTTCTGAGTTGACTGGATTTAAAATATATGTAGCTTTTGACCTCTTTACACTTAGTTCAAGTTTCCTTTTTTTTTTTTTTTTTTTAATATGCATCTTGTTAGTTGCTGCTTTATAGAGTTATTCATAGCATGTTCCAGTTATGCAAGCCACTGTAGTGATTGATTGTTCTTTACTAACAGAGGCATCTAGAGTAGTCGTAGTTGTAAATTGCGGAGCGTATCTTTCCTTTTCTGCTAAGATAAAAGTGACAATAAAACTGATTCCCTTCATGACAACCACTGGGCTTATTCTTGACATTATAATTCATTTACGGTTGATTTATCTGGTCAGCTCTATGTATATGTGTTTGTGAGTTTGATATATGTTTTTGAGTTTGATATCTTGAATCTGCTTTAATATGTGGCATTGTTGTCTGCATGACTATGACATTGTATACAAATTTTCCTATCAAGATCATGTATTAGTTTACGGATTTTGGTCTGTGTGCTTACATTTTTGTGACAGAGAGGTCATCTTTTCAGCTTATAGGTTTTGCCGTCACCATAGATTGTCTAACATTTTCTGATGTCAATTTAATGAACTCCTTAGGTGATGTTATCATCATCATTGTTATCATTTCGATTCGGTATGAGCCTTTTGTGTATGATTGAACTCAACTATTCAAATCATCACCTTTCATCAGTGATTTTGTAACTGATGTGACGCTTACTATCACTTTATTCCAATTTTTCTCTCTTAGAAGACTTAATATAGTTAAGAAAAGAAAAAAAGATAAATTGTTTGTTTCATCCTATTGCAACTTTCTTAAACATGTACAGTGAGTTCCAAAGTTTGGAAGTTGCTACAAATCCTTGTTATTTTTTGTTCGCTTCAGTGTTTACAAAAACTTACAGCTGTTTTCTCATATACATGCTTTCCTCCCTCACTCAGCAATTCCTTATTCTATGTGATTTGACATCCAAATTCATTGCAGGCTGGACTTTTTGTATACGATATATTCTGGGTTTTCTTCACACCAGTTATGGTTAGTGTTGCAAAATCATTCGATGCTCCTATCAAGGTTAGTGTTCCAGCTTAATTCGGATATTATTCTGGCTCAAGTGTGGAATTTTTTACTTCATGTGTATGTCATATTGATAATATTATTACATAGTGTTGTGTTTGACTCTTTTCTGGTTTTAATGATAATTCATTTTCTCTGCAGCTTTTGTTTCCAACAGCAGATTTTAAACGACCATACTCCATGCTTGGACTTGGTGACATTGTAATCCCTGGTATGTTGTGGAAAATTAAGTTCAAGGATCTTTTGGTTGATGTTATTGTCAAAGTTGTGTGGGTTAGTCTTTGTAATTATCCAAGGAAACTGGGGGTTTGACTTTGTGCAAGAGAAACATGAATACAAGTGAAATTATGACCCTTCGCCAAAGGAAATGGCTTATTTATTATCATTGAGTTGACAACCAACTTATCAGTTTCGTGCTTTTTTCTTTGATGGACAACCTTCGAGTTTGAAATAAATTGCTGGGCAGAAGTATACTATGGTTGAGCTACATAAAGACTTCTCATTCTCTGGGTTCAAAAATTTTGTGGTTTAGTATTTAGGCTGGTTCAATCCTTCAAAACAAATTATTAACTCAAAATGATTTTTGCACTATAGTACATGATTAATAACAGCAATAGAAACACGGTTACAGTACAATTAATTTCCTTGATACTTACAATGTGTATCACCATTTTTTTCTTTTGGCATTTAGGTATTTTTGTGGCGCTAGCACTGCGATTTGATGTATCTAGGGGAAAAGGGTGCCATTATTTTAAGAGTGCATTTCTGGGATATACAGTTGGTTTGATCCTCACTATTATTGTCATGAACTGGTTTCAAGCTGCACAGGTGAACTATCACATGTTTCTCGCTCTTTTAATATCCTCTACCGTGGCATATATCTTATTCATTGATTTCATGTGGTTTCTTTGATTGGGATTTGTCTTTGTTATTCAGCCTGCACTTTTGTATATTGTACCTTCTGTAATCGGATTCTTGGCTGCTCACGTCTTATGGAATGGTGAAGTCAAACCGGTTTGTTCAACATCCTTGCGATCTTGTTTCTGCGTATGCCATCAAGTTTTATTTTACACATTTAAAATATGGTGGCTAATACATCAATTTCTTCTGACATTACGTGCAGTTGATGGAGTTTGATGAATCAAAAACTGCTGGAACATCTGAAGAAGGTGCCGATGCCAAATCTAGCAAGAAGGTAGAATGAACTTAATGCCCCAGTTTAGCGAGAAATACTTTATTCTCCATTTTGAGGAACTGAAAACCCTCCAAGCTAACTAATGCAGCTGCCCAACATTGTAACAGATTTTGGAATTAAGCAAGAAATAATATTGAAGCCCTTTTGTCTTTTTCATTCTTTCTTAGAACTGTGATGTGTTTTGCCGCCTTGAGGAGAAATTTTTCCTGCTTTCAATTTTAGAAATTCTCAAATTCTTTTTTAAAATACACTTTCTTTTTCAGATACTTTTTTTTGGCATTGAAATCTACAAAAGGTCTTGAGTTTGATTCCATTCAGTTACTAATATGGGTGATCATTGATAGTTTATCCGGTCGTTAGTTTCGGGCTCGAGGGATTAGTTGAGATATGTTTAATTAGTGGGAATTCTCCTGATCACTAAAAAAAAAAAAAGAAGGAAAATTGGCTAAATGACAGCTGCAAATTAAGAGTGACTAGTATTAACTCTCAACAGAACATCATTTTCAATCAATTTCACATGTAAAAACTGAAAAACAGCAATATTAGAACAAATTTACACCTTTTAAACTGGCCGCACGTATGCTGACAGAAAATCACAATCCAGTTGTCTTTAATCCTACATATCGAAGGATTGATGTAACAGGGAATCCGGGAATACTGCCGTGTTGGTGTGAGCGAAAAGAGTGAGAATCTCTCTCATGATTGATTGTAGTGGACCACAGGACCAGCCCATGACAAGGCCTGCCTGCCTGCATTAAACATCATATTCTTTTGGGGGTTTATTACTCAACAGTCCAACCCTAAGGTTTGAGACCCCTTTACCTCCCCCTAACTTTGACAAACTAACGCTAGATAACATCTCTGTCGGTTAAATATAACTGTTCAAAATGTATTTTAAATAAGCTGTTGGTAATTTTGACTAAGTGACTAGTTGTTTTAGGCAATGTTTTGAAAACTAAGCCAGGCCTTGGTCAAGGTCTCGGTTCATGGTTTGACTAGTCTGACCGGTTAAACTATTGATTCCGATAGTCCAAAAAGTTTGAAATCTTACAAGAACAACCCTAAAAAATTTTTAGTCCCTCGAGGTTTGAAATATAGCAAATACGCCCTTAAAATCTATTTGGGTGATGACTTTTCCAGTCAAATTTCTACTGATTTCGATGGTTAAAATTCAACCCACACCACCACCTGAACCACCGTCCTCCACTCTACAAAACATCTCTAACTTGGGAACTTGGTAGCCCTCTGTTCATCGGCCGTGACTCGCGAACATTATTGTGATTGGGTTGATTTTTCTAGCCAAATTCTTGCTTATTCCGGAGTCCAAAATTCAATCAAACACCACCACCCAAACCACCAGCCTCCACTCTACAAAACCCCTATAATCTTGGCACTTGGTAGCCCCCCGTTTGTCAGCCGTGACTCCCATATTAGGTTGATTTTTTTGGCCAAATTCCGGCATCCAAAATTTCAATCCAACACTACCCCTTGAACTATCGGTCTCTACTTTACAAAAGCCATTTAAACTCGACACTTGGTAGCCCCTTGTTCATTGATGATCAAATTAGGGATTTGGATGAATAGTAAAATTAAAATTTCGAACCCAAAAAGGTCGTTTGATGGTTGGACCGGCTAATCCGATTCGATTTTCATAACATTGGTTTTAGGTAAACGACATGAATTTTTTATCAAATAAATGATTATTTTGGTATTATTACAATTCTTGAATATAAAAGTGATCATCTGTTAGACCAAAACCCCAATTGTTTATTCAATATATCTTTTTTACCTTTTGTACCGTAACAATTAACTAACAAGACATTTGTTTGGGGTATCGTCGTTCGTTTCCTAAAGTTGGAGGTAAATAATTTTTTTACTAAACTTGAGGGGTGGAAATGGAATTGACTCTGTTCATTGTTCCTTGCTTTGTTCTCTTTTTGTTCTTTCTGACAATACAAAAATAAAAAAGTTGATTAATTAATTAACTAACATGATAATGAACATGAACGAGGCTAATTTCACATTTAATTGACCAAAAAAACCAATACCCAACTGTTAAAATTCAATGTGAACGAAAGCAAATGAAATCATAACCAGAACAAGAAACAAACGACTTCTCTTCGTCTCTCTCTCTACAATTTCATGTCATCAAGTTCATGCAATTGCATTTGGGTTTAGTGGGTTTCTTGTTTTGAGCCAATCAAACGAACAATTTTGTAGAGACGGGTTCTGAGAAATTCACCAGCCATGGAAGGTGAATGTTTATTGTCTTTTCTTAATCTTGAATCGTTTTTGTGATGTGTGTGTTTGTTGTTTTTGATGAAGTTTATCGGGTTTATGTCGGATTCGTTTCGTTGAATAGTGTTGTATGTGGGTTTTGTTTTATTTTAGCATGCATGGCAGAATATTGGTTATTAGTTTAGAAGATTTTCGTTGGATGTGGAATTCTGAAGCCAGTTTGTGAGTTGCATTGAAATCTAAATGACGTGATTCGCTTCTGTTTTGAGGAATCTTTATGTAATGGGGATGTGTTAGACTTGTTCTGCATACTTTTGTGTGTTAATGTTTGTTTGTATTGTTTTGTAGTTTAGATTGAAAGGTCTGTCTATTGATTAGAGTCATGATGATCCCATTTGATTGGTCTGTTCATGTAACTTCAATTAATTTGTGAGTCATTTTGTAGTGGCTGTGCCAAATGATTTGATCCATGTTTCCTGAAACGATTCAATCCGAGATGGATTTAAATGATGTTTGATGGTCGCGTTTACTTTGATGCACAATGCGGTATGATCTTCTCAAGGCTTCGGCAAGAAATATGAAGTGTAAGAGTATTTAGTATCCAATGATAGTAAAAAAAAAATTATAAAGTAAAGGGTGCTTAAGCAGAGGAAGATAGGAGTTAATGAACTTTCCAAGAGAGGTTCACATTTGGGTGTGGTGATGTAGTTGGAAGCTCATGTTTTCCTTTTAAATTGAAAAAGTTTGATTATGGGTTTTTTGACCTATGGAATCACTGGGTTTGTCTCTTGCAACCATGATTTGATGTCTATCAATTGGTATTAGCTTTTCCCTCCATTTGGTAGGAGGTAAATGTGAGGGAAAGGAGTACTATGGGAAGTAGAAATCATATGCCCTTTTTGATCGCTTAATGAGATATTCCCTCTTCCTTTTTTTACCCTTCCTTTTCCTTTACTCTGTGTTGATGTTTGGAATAATGTTGTGAATCCTACAATCTTGAATGTTAGTTATGCGAAAGCTATTTTTTCAATATTTTTGGCTAATCCCTAAGGAATATACTGCTGGTACATTTTATCGCGACAGTGAGGTAGAGAGCTGCTAGTAAATTAGAGGGATGCTGGAAGAATTCTGGGGTTGAGAATTGGATGACTCTTTCTGTATCTGAAATAATAGAAGATTTGTGTGCATGCATGGTGAAGAAATATTATTAAAAGGTTGTGTGCAGCTGAGCAAGTGGTTGCATACAGACATGTACTTTGATTTGGTAAATGTATGAGTCAGCTACTCATATGCATTTATTAATGATAATTATTAAAGGCTAGCTGCCAATAGTGATGAATATATATTGACTTTTACATTTCCATGCTCACAGTAGTTATCATTTTTATCTCTAATATAAATATTTTACTTTTATCTATTTTAGATTCAAGTGAAATGCATTCTGAAGAAAATAAAGTATCTTTGGAGAAGAATGTGAAAAGGCGGTTCAAGACTCGAGCTCAGGTTATGGCTTTGGAGAACTTCTATAATGGTATTAAAGTTTTGCATGTCATATCTCATTTTGGTGCTTTTTATGAAACTGATTGAGTTATGGTTTGAGAAGAAATATATATAATTATTTTTTTTGGTTTTTCCCAGAGCACAAATATCCCTCGGAAGAAATGAAAATGCAACTTTCAGAGCAGATAGGCTTGACAGAAAAGCAAATATCTGGATGGTTTTGCCACAGGCGGTTAAAAGACAAAAAAATTGATGAAGGATTCGCTAGTGGACGACAGGATCGTTCAAGTGGTATTATTCAGGATCGTGGGAGTGGACTCTGGCAAGATTCTTGTGGGAGCACCAAACAAGGGGATATTAGAAATATTGATCCTAGGGAGGTTGAGAGTCGAAGGCTCTGTGGCCAGGATTTTCCCTCTTCAGATCTTGTCTATGATCATAGGAGTCAGTATACGGGACATATTAGTGGGATGGAAAGGGATGATACGTCTTCAGAAAGCAGCTCATTCTTGCAAGATAGAATTTATTCTCGAATTGACGATCCTTATACTAAGGAAGCGTCTAGATACATAAGACAAAATGGAGCTATAACACCCATAAACTGCAATACCTCTAAAAGTAAGGAATATAAGCCATCAGGATATTTGAAAGTGAAGGGTGATACTGAAAACTCTGCTATTACTGCTGTTAAGATGCAACTGGGGAGGCAATATCAGGAGGATGGTCCACTACTTGGTGTTGAATTTGATCCACTTCCTCCTGGTGCATTTGAGTCCCCAAGTAATGAACCAGTCAATGGTAAGTTGTCTTACTTATATTTATGTCTGATGCTAATAATTTTCTATATTTCTATTAGAAGGAATTCCTGACGTTGTCCAATTTTGTGTCTCTCTCATGGTCAATTATTTCTATTTTTTTTTTTTTTTTACTGATTTTCTTTTTGTAGTTTCTCAATTTAGAAGGAAAGAATTAAATGACACCTGAATTCTTCTGTTCTTTGACATTTGATGACCAAATGAATGTAACCATCACAAGCCAAGTTAAACAAAATGTGAAAATTGTTTTAATGAACGGGAAATGATAATTTCTGAGAAAGTTGTGTCTTGGAAGTGCATGGTCTTCATTAATTATGATGACATTGTTTGTCCTTTGTTTCCTTATAAAATAGACATGTTGGTGTTTGAATAATGTGCATCTAACAAGGAATAAATTTTAACATGTGTTTTATGACAATAACTCTACAAAGGTTAGTCTCACAATTTTATGACAATTATGAAGAAGTATTTTGTAGAGGGTTCATATTTACATGTTAATTGATGCACCTGAAATTCCCCTGAATTGACTCAATTTATTTAAGTTTAACTTGTAAACTCTGATTATAAGCTTTCCGAAATTAATTCTTTACAGTATAAGGCATTTATGCTTTCTGGGATAGTAAAAACAAATATCCTGTGTGTGAACAAAGGAAAACAAATTGGAATTGACTGTATATGAGCTCCATTTGAATCCTAAGTATCTGAGTTGATTTCCTATGTTGGCTTTGCTTGCAGCTATCATTTCAAGTTGTTGCTCTATTTTTGCTGAAGGCTTCAGCTCTTATTTTCTCTCTCTCTATTTTTGATGAGACATGAAAAATATTTTTAAAAAAAGATTATTTTACAAAGAGTTACATTATGAATCCATAAAATAAAAGACAAAACAAGAGTTCGGATTTTATAAAATCAAGAAACAACAGCAGCCCAATCCCTTTGAATGTAGAAAAAAAATCTTATCAAATTTATTTGTAACTGAAGCCCTCAAAGAAGCTATAGTATGAACTCTCTCCCATAGAAGCTCCACATCCTCATCCTCAGCTTCTTCAAAGATTCTTTTATTTCTTTCATTCCAAATAACCCATATTGCAGCCAATATACAGCATCTCCACAGGAGAAAAGCTTTCTCACCTCCTCTGAATGCACATTGATATTCAATAAACAAAGGGATCCAAGAGAATTGGAATGACACTAACCAAATCAGCCTCAGAAAAATTCTTATACGCACATGATGGCAGAGGTGTTAATTTAATGTATAGAGCTTTAGCTCATGCCTCATGAATAACTGTAGGACCATTCTCTTTTTACTTTTGTTTGCAATGCGGCAAAACTCTTATGCTGTTTATTCATGTCTTCTGATGGACTTCTTGTGATTTGGTGTTTTCATGGTGTTTATCTTGTTTGGTACCTGTGACCTATTCAAGTTGTTCCTGTTTGTGATAAGCTATCAAATTCTACTGTTAACTCCCATGGTAGAGCTGTAATAAAATTCTTCCATATTAAACCTTTCAACAATTTGGGCCCCAAGTTTCCTAAATCCCTATGTACTTGCATCTTTAATAACCATAAATGAGCCAAACCCAACTCAGTTACTCAACAAGTGGAAGAAAATAGAACCCTTAATGTAAAACCCTCCAAAACTGACCTTACAGCAGAGTTGAATAAACTACCAAATTAATTCTGACAGAAAGTATGAAACCAAATAATTTTGAACCAGATCAGACCATTTATTATTTATTGCATCAGTGGCTTCTTTTGTTAGCTTGATTTGTTTTACATGAATATTCGTGGTAATTAGTTTAACTTTGATGTTATTATTAGTATTATTTATTAAGTTTTCAAATCTTTATGTGACAGAATATTTATATTTCTTTTCTGTTAAATACAGCAGAGCCATTCCATGTTGAGGAATCCACATGGCTTCATTCTTTGGATGCACCTGGTGTTGAAAAGCGAAGTGATCTTGGCACTGTAAGTGGACTTTCTGATTCTTACATTTCTGCATCTCAAACTGTCTGTGTCTTGGGGCAAGTTTGGCAACTGCATTGTGCAGTATGAAAACATTAAATCATACTCAATTGTACTAAACCTATTATTAGTTAGATCTTTGCATGTACAAATGAATTTTAACTAAGATGTTCATAAATATTTAATAATTATTACTAGTATTTTCCAGTTGGACATATGTTCTCTTGAGCTTCTATTCTGTATTTCTGGAGCATTAAGCTCCTTATTCAACAGATACGTTGGCCCCATATGGATCATAGCACTGGGCCACACTACAAGGGGCTGGAATATTAGGCCTCATTGTTATGGCAGTTGTTATCACTGCCCACAAATTCACCTCCTCCTTCGCTTTGCCATTATCCTCCATTCCACTTCCTGATACCAGGCATCCAAACTTCCCTCTTCCTGAAAAATAAAGAAAAAAGAAAATTGAAAAAAAAAAAAAGGCCATACAACCACAGTAGAGCAAAAGATAACCAAAGTAACCGAGAAAGAAGGAACTCCAATCTCCACATATCTATTGCATGTATAAAAATGTTGGATCCTATGTGAGATTGTAAAAACTTTTTAAGGTAAAACATTGATATTGATAAAGTTGCTGAAATTTTGTTCTTGTGATTGAAATGAAAGAGCATCACCAATTATGAGTGTGGTTGTAGAATTATAGTTTCTCTAAAAGCTGAGCAGACTAGTGCCTCATCTTCATTGAAGCTGTTAAACATCATTTATAATTAGATTTCCTGGAAGCGGCGTAATATAGACATATGCAATGAAGTTTTCTTATGGTTTTCTTTTGCTTTGTTCTGCTGCAGAGATATGAAGTACCTGGTTCCAAGATGGGTATTGAGGATTTGTATATTGGCACAGAAACGCTGCGTGGATCTGACTGTCAGGGCATGAAATCTCACCGTCAATTGAAACAAAAGTCTTCTCATCTCCATTATTCTAATTTCTCCCCAGGACAGAATTCTAGCATGGATATTTATGAAGATTCTGCTGGAGAAACTTCTATTTACAATAGCAACCACTGTTATAAGTTGAGCAACAAGCACGATGCTGTTGGGAATTCTGTTTTGAACCATCATGATCATCGTGGTGGTAGAATTACTAGTGAACGAATAAAGCCTTTGTTGCATGACTATGATAACTTCAGCCCTAAGATCGTCCAAAACAGTGACTACTTATCTAAGCCTTCAAATATGACACTTGGGAGCAGTAATTCTCTCGACGCAGAGGAGAGAGTGCCATCTAAAAGGATGGCAAAGGTCTTTTTATTACTTTATATCTTCTACTTATATTTTCTCTTATTCAATGTCTCCTGTTGACTTTTTTTGGCTTGAACCAAAATCATATAATTATATGTTTGTAGGTGGAGAAACTTTACGGGGAGAGGAAGGCAATAAAAGAGAATCGTGATCCAGTAAGAATAAAGAAGCATCCGAAAAATGAAATGAAAGTGAGTTTGGGCTCTGATTGAAATGTTGGCACATGTATATAGTTGTTTGTACTTAACCAGTTTTCTGCTTTGCCTTTGATGCTTTTCCATGTTAAACTTGACATTGAAGGTAGTGAAACAACAAAAAGTTAATCTTCCACGGCCAGATAATATGGTCAAATCATCATATGCTGAAATCCTGAGATGGACAAATCAGATTAAAGGGTTTGTATACTTTTTGGCATTTGACTGTAATCTTTTTGCAATGTGCTTGTATATTTGCACATACACATGCATCCTCACATTGTGTTGTGCATATATTCTGCAAATATGAAATTTTTTTCAGTATAATTTCAGAGTTTCTTAGTCTCCCAAAGAACAATAAGATACTCTCTTATTTCATATTGTATTTTTTTGAAATTTCCTGGCTGCACTGGAAGTTCAAAGCTAAACAATTTCAGATCATTTTCCTATTCTGCGGATATTGGAAATTTATTTCTTGATGTCTTCTTTCTTTGTAAAGATTTTACTGGACATAACTACCTACCTTCTGACTCCATTATGTTTAATCTAGGTCTGCCGCTGATATGCCATCTAGCTTCAGTGAGGATGAAACTGCGGAAACTAGTTCTTCTATGGAGTGAAGATTTTCCGGTTAATGGATGGTACAAATGTTTGAGAGGTTCTCAGTATCACCCGCTGGAGATGTAAATGCTAGTTTGCAACTCGATGGGGTTGTACAGCTGAATGTGTTGATATGCTAACATTCTAACAGGGTAAGCTCTACTAGTTAAAGATCTGAATCTGCAGATAATTTTTGTCGCGACCAACCAATTTGATGTTGCCTATGTAATGCTCAGGTGTTTATATCTGTAAAGCTGCTTTTTTTTTGTTTTTTCCTTCTCCTTTTCTCCCTATAGAGTTATGAATTTTGATTAAAAATCTCATCAGTTGAATCTATTAGTTGTAGATGATGTATTAAAAACATAGCTAATCATGGTATGCAAAGGCACCTTTGTCTGAATTTTACTCTAATTGGTTAACATTTCAGCACTGCCTTTTCGGAATTCTTGTTACAATTTCATGTATTAGTCAATCTCTAGTGCACACAATTAATTGTTTTAGTTAACCTTTGTTGCGGTTTTTATGGTGTGAATCCCTGGCTTTACAAAAGGATTAATGGCATCGCCCCCCTGATGGTTGTTATTGAGTAGTTAGGATTTACACTATTACGAGTTGATGAATATTTACTTAATTACCCTCATATCGTTTATTTTAGCATCTAAAACTTAACGGTAGAAGGATTTTTTTTATTTCACAAACTTCAAGGAATCATTTGTTATGTAATTAAACCTTGGGTCAACTATAGTCATTTAACTCCTTTACAAAATGCAAATATCAAAGATAACACCTACTGGGTCTTTAGTTTGCATGTTAAAAACTTTAGGGACATCCATGTACGAGAACTTTTGTGTGTGTATATATATATATATATATATATTGATTTTTCCGACCAATTGGTCAGTTAAAATTTCATTGGAAAACCTTATATAAAAAATAAATGGATTAACTACCTTTAGGTAGTTTGACGGTTCGTTTGAGACTATTGAATGTATTACTTAAGAGGTCTTAGAATTCAAATATCTATACTACTAATAAATGATAGTCTTATAGTTTTATCTAGCCGTTAACCTCAAGCTCAAGGGAATAATCGAGATGTGTCACAAGTTGGTTCGAACCCCTGGATACCAAAAAAAAAAAAAAAAAAAAGGATTTCAATGGATAGATATATTTAGGTATCTAGAAGTGAAAAAGCAAGAAATGAGTGGATAGTTTGAAGAAGAGGCTTGTCTTTCTCTCTACCCAACAAGAAATCTCCATTATTGAGCCATTGACAATTGATGTTTTCTTAGGTTTTTGATTTGGACCCAATCTTTGGTGGATGAAGGAGAAAGAAGAAGAGGAAGGGCCTCCTCTTTTGATGTGTGGTTGCTAATGGGTGATTTGTTGGGCTTGTGTTGTTGTTGTAGCAACACCATCACCCCCCCAACCCCACCACCTTTGTGGTTAGAGAAGTAGGCCATTTTTGGGACCAAAATTTCACATTTGTGCGTGTGTGGCTGTGCTCTTCTATTCATTCTACTTCTCTGCTCTTTGGTCTCCCTTTCTCTTTTCCCAAAGTGAACCATTATTTTGTGTTAGTCTTAGTCCTCATCAATCAATAGGGAGTTAAATACATTTGGTCCCTAAATTTAGCCTTAGTACTACGGTCTTAAATTTTAAAGTAACACTTAAAAATCCTTGTTTGTTACCGGTTGTTTAAAATTCTTTTAAAAAGTCTAAAATGCCCCTTATTTATTTGTTAATTTTATTTTCGTAACTTACAAATTTATTCTTAATTTTTAATAGAGTTATCCGTAATACCTTATTTGTTTTATATTGTTTTTTTATTTTAATGACATTTATATAACAAGATATATATTTTAGATTTTTTTTTAAAAAATATAAATGATTGATAACTAAAAACAAAAGACCTAAGTGTTACTTTCAGAGTTTACTGAACCAAAATTTACTTAGACCAAACTTCAGGGAGACAAATGTACTTAACTCATACATAGGGTTGGAAAAAGCTTTGGCCATTATGGATGCTGTAAAAGATCAAGTATTCATCCCACTTTGCACATCTTTTTCTTTTCACCTTACCTTATTTCTTCTTTTGTCTTCCCTTTTTCCTTCTCTTTCTCTTTTGGATTTAACATTATTTTTTTAAATTAAGTTTACTAATATTTGATTTATAAAAATATAATTTTGAATTATTAAATAAAAATTAATTTAAATAATTTTTTTAAAACAAGAGATACAAAAATTATGAATGTACGTTTGGTTAAAAAAAGAAAGATTGTTTTATAGTTTTACATTATTTTTTTTTTGAATATCAATATCAAATACATTTTCAATATTATAAATACGATTTAACTCAAAAATTTAAATCTATTTTAGTTTTTAAAAATTATTTTCGGATTGTAAATAAAAACTCCTCAATTTACTTTTTTTTTTATTTTTTATTCAAAAAATATTAAGTGATTTTTTAAAAAAATTTTAATCCCAAAATATTACAGACTACAATCTGTGACACGTGTATGATTCTCTTTTTAACTCAAGACAGAAAGATTTTCCGGGAAATTTCCAATTTCCATCTTCCAAACCCATTTCGTTTTTACTATTTACCATTTTCTCAGCCACCAAACAGCCCAAAACAGAAATAAGAAAGCAACTAGACAGCCTCCCTGTTACAGCAGCTAAGGCAGCCAGCAAAAGCAAGTACACACACTGGCAAGTGTCAAATTACATAAATATTCTCCAGCATTATCCCCTTTTTACCTTTAGTAATTCATTTCCTCTTTTTTTTTTTTTTTTTTTTTTTTTTCTTTAAAATTCAAGTTTCTCTCTCTTTAGTAAATAAAAAATAAATAAATTACTCTCTCTCTTCTCTCCTCTGCAACTTCTAATCAGATCATCATTTCATCAAATTAATTTTTCTCTTAGATTTTCTCCCACTTTCTCGCCAACCAAACACTTACTCTTCACTTCATTTGTCGATCGGTTCTCGATTCTCGGTTCTTGATTCTTGCAACTGCTTCGGGAACTTCGTTTTGCTTCGGTTTTTCTTTGTGTCTGGAGTTTGAAGTGAGTGCAATTGAGTGAAGGAGCTGGAGTTGAAGTGAGTGATCATGATGGTTGAAGTAAGCTCGAGGTTGTGGTTGAAGGATGTTGTGAAATTAGGGTTTAGTTTGAGAGTGAGGAGGTTGGTGGATGGACGAGTTTGATTTTGAGAATGGATGAGTTTAAGATTGTTTAGTGTGTGGATATTTTGGAGATTTGATAAGCTTTTTTACAATGTCAAGGACTGATAGGATGGCTTCGGATCTTAGCAGAACCGGCCCCGTTGAGAGAGACATCGAGCAGGTATTCTTGAATGATATGCTTAATTGGTTATAGTTGTGAAATTAGGTACTTAGAATATTACTGTTCTTTTTCTAATTATTTATTTGTTAATTGTTGCTTGAAACTGTGAAGTGGTGACCAGATGAAAATATAACTCTCATATTTGTGTAAGATGATACTTGAAACATTTGACTTCCAATGGGCAATGAAATAGGAATTCGAACACAACTTCATTCCTGAACGAGTACCGTAGTGTAACCGCTGACCTTTGTAGATGTATAGACATGTTACTTTGTTTTTGTGCTATGGTTTGTAGGATATGTTTAGAAGCTATAGAATGTGTTCAGGTGGATTAGGCTAAGTGCTCAGAGTAGACTATATATAGCTTCTGTGAATGGCTTGGACTTCTTAGTTAGAATGATTTGAAATAAGGTTGACAATATCTTTGTTAGGTGATTTTGTTGTGTTTGTTGTCTGGATGGTAATCTAAGCTGTGACATGATGTAACTTTTTCTGTTACACTGCTTTTGTGGTTTGAACTTGACGACTGGGAGGATGAGGGTGGGAGGGAGTTTCATAATTCTAGTTTAGGCAGAGAACAATTGAATGTTTGGTATTTGAATGCAGCAATTTGGCTTTAGTTTTTTGATAAGTGAAAGGAAATCATCAAGTAGAGTGTGCTTCCAGCCAAGCCAACACAATGCTGTTAATGAAGATAGTCGGTCACAATGTCAGGGGATCCTGATACACCCATTACTCATAATGTATGACTGAATATGACATGCAGAAATCATGTTTTAAGACATGTAAAACTGGACTGTGTGACAACATCGTATTTAGCTTGTTCTTATATAGTTTGTTTTCTATGAGGGCTATCCTTGAGCAGATCATAGGTCAAAGAAATCCCTTGGGAATTAAAATGAGTAATAATCTGAGACATTGTGTTTTGGCATTTATCTTTTTGCATCAAAGAGGCAAAGAAATGAATGGAAAGAAATGTGGATGGAGATACTGACATAAGGTCTTTAAGCATACCGGCTCATGGAATTGTATTAATTGATTAGCAAATTGGTCTTTGCATTATGTTCAAGGTGATTCCTTATTGCTTAAAAGGGAAATAAGAGTGGATAAGCTTTAGCAAAAGTTGCTGAACCACATCTTGTTTTGAAATCTTGAGTGGGTCCTCTGCAGATTCAATCTGTTGTTTTATTTTTTGTACTTTGGAATGCAAATTTGTCAGGGTGTACTTTTTGTGCTAAATCTTGCCAGCTCCGTCCTTTTAGTCATTTAAATATGCTCTCAATTTTCATCTTCATTTATGATTCTGCTACTGTTGACTGGACTTCTCAGCTGTAATTTTTTATTTTTCATCACACATATGATTCATATGCTTAAGTTAGGATTTTGGATGATCTTTACTACAGGCCATTACTGCTCTAAAAAAAGGGGCATACCTGCTCAAGTATGGAAGAAGGGGAAAGCCCAAGTTTTGTCCTTTCCGACTTTCCAATGTAAGTTTGATCTGATTTTACTGACTCTAGCACACCACTTTAATCTCATGTACTACACGTTTGGCCCTCCAAAATGCATCTGTCCTTTTCAGTATATCCAGTTTATCCTTTTCATATGCTAGTTAATTATTCTGTTTGTGAGATTCCAATGCAATCATTTGATTTGGTTCCTTTATCTTGAATAGTTATTTTTAATGTTTATATGCACTAGGTATATACCTTTATTCAATAATTGTTGTTTTTCAGTATAATTCCTGTTATATAATTCAGCTAATAGTCAAATAGTTCCTCCTATTAATCTGAGCGTTTAATTATGTTATTGCTTTCAGGATGAGTCTGTTTTAATATGGTTCTCTGGGAAAGAGGAGAAGCACCTTAAACTGAGTCATGTGTCTCGAATCATCTCTGGGCAACGCACTGTAAGTGTCTTGGTGGAGAAAGCATATTTTTAGTAGTTACTATATATTGATTTTTACCATGTTTTTGGAGTTCAGTCACTTGTTTGCAGCTTGTGAGAGTAACATAAATTAAAGGTCTGCAAACTTTGAACTTATTATATGTTTAGCCTTTTGTATCCGTTATATAGCTTTAATAAGAAAATTTTAGCATGGCCCAGACAACTTATATATGCTTTTACATGTCTATATGCTATTAGCAGTTCAGTTTTCTTAATGAATTAGACAAATTAATCTGCAAATGAATCATCATTGTTGTCTAAACCAATTCTATATTCATGAAAATCTCAATCTGACAACTCAATCTTGATCTTAATGTCCTTTGCTCTATTGCAATGAATTTCATTTGCGAATTCTGTATTTTTTTTTATTCTGCACACTGATTGTATATGGCCTAATCTTTTCCAGCCTATCTTTCAAAGGTATCCACGGCCTGAGAAGGAATATCAGTCATTTTCTCTTATATATAATGACAGATCCCTTGATTTGGTAAGGATTTTTCCATTGTACTCTTTAGCTTCCTTTATTTTATTTCTGCGATGCGTTTGCTTTTGACTTGATTCTTGTATTGTAAAATGTTATCCTGGTGCTGTATATTATGGTTTAAAAATTTATTGCTGTTGAAATTTTAATATTATCTAGTGATCTTATTTTATATCTAGATTTGCAAAGATAAAGACGAAGCTGAGGTATGGTTTAGTGGTTTAAAAGCATTGATTTCACGAAGCCATCATAGAAAATGGAGAACAGAGTCAAGGAGCGATGGAATTCCCTCTGAAGCAAATAGTCCTAGAACGTACACACGTAGAAGCTCTCCTTTAAATTCACCATTTGGTAGTAATGATAGCTTGCAGAAGGTATAATTATTTCCTTTGTCTGCCTTTCTCCTCTTGTGAGACTGTAATATTGAGGACCCTTTTTTTTTTTTTTTTTCCAATTCAGGATGGGGATCACCTTCGCCTTCACACTCCATATGACAGTCCCCCTAAAAATGGTTTGGATAAAGCATATTCAGATGTGATACTATATGCTGTTCCTCCAAAGGGTTTCTTCCCTCCAGATTCTGCAAGTGCTTCAGTTCATTCTTTGTCTTCGGGAGGTTCAGATAGTGTACATGGTCATATGAAGGCAATGTCGATGGATGCTTTTAGAGTTAGTCTATCCAGTGCTGTTAGCTCATCAAGCCAAGGTTCTGGTCATGATGATGGTGATGCTCTGGGTGATGTTTTCATTTGGGGGGAAGGCATTGGGGATGGTGTTTTGGGTGGTGGACCTAATAGAGTTGGAAGTTGTTTTGCTGGGAAAATGGATTCTTTGTTGCCCAAAGCTTTAGAATCTGCTGTAGTATTAGATGTGCAGAACATTGCCTGTGGTGGACGACATGCTGCCCTAGTAACCAAGCAAGGAGAGATTTTTTCTTGGGGAGAGGAGTCAGGAGGCAGACTAGGGCATGGCGTAGACTCTGATGTTTTGCATCCAAAGCTTGTTGATTCTCTCAGTAATATGAACATTGAGCTTGTTGCTTGTGGTGAGTATCATACTTGTGCTGTAACACTGTCTGGTGATTTGTATACATGGGGTGATGGGACTTACAATTATGGTCTTCTTGGGCATGGAAATGAAGTGAGTCATTGGGTTCCAAAAAGAGTAAATGGGCACTTGGAGGGCATACATGTCTCATATATCTCTTGTGGACCCTGGCATACGGCTGTTGTAACCTCCTCTGGCCAATTGTTTACATTTGGTGATGGTACATTTGGAGTTTTGGGCCATGGAGATCGGAAAAGTATCTCTATTCCAAGAGAAGTGGAATCTCTTAAGGGACTCCGGACAGTTCGGGCAGCTTGTGGTGTTTGGCATACTGCTGCAGTTGTTGAGGTTATGGTAGGGAATTCAAGTTCAAGCAACTGCTCCTCAGGGAAGCTATTTACTTGGGGAGATGGAGATAAAGGTCGACTTGGGCATGGGGACAAGGAAGCCAAACTTGTGCCTACATGTGTTGCTGCTCTTGTTGAACCCAACTTTTGTCAAGTTGCCTGTGGACATAGTTTGACAGTTGCACTTACAACAGCAGGCCATGTCTACACTATGGGCAGTCCTGTTTATGGTCAACTAGGAAATCCACATGCTGATGGCAAGCTTCCCACACGTGTTGAAGGAAAACTCTTCAAGAGTTTTGTGGAGGAGATTGCTTGCGGTGCTTATCATGTTGCAGTTTTAACTTCAAAAACTGAAGTTTACACTTGGGGCAAGGGAGCAAATGGTCGATTAGGTCATGGGGATACAGATGACAGAAACTCCCCGTCGCTGGTGGAAGCCCTGAAGGACAAGCAAGTCAAGAGTATTGCTTGTGGTACTAATTTTACCGCGGCTATCTGCCTTCATAAGTGGGTCTCAGGTGTTGATCAGTCCATGTGCTCTGGTTGTCGCTTACCATTTAATTTCAAAAGAAAACGTCACAATTGTTATAATTGTGGACTGGTTTTTTGTCATTCATGCAGCAGTAAAAAGTCCCTTAGGGCTTCGATGGCACCTAATCCCAACAAACCTTATCGTGTCTGTGATAATTGTTTTAATAAACTAAGAAAAGCCATTGAAACTGATGCTTCATCCCAGTCCTCTGTAAGTAGAAGAGGAAGCATCAATCAGGGTCCTAATGAATTTATTGATAAAGATGAGAAGTTGGATTCTAGGTCTCGTGCACAACTGGCAAGGTTTTCTTCAATGGAATCCTTCAAGCAAGCAGAAAGTCGATCTAAGAGAAACAAGAAACTAGAATTCAATAGCAGTCGTGTCTCTCCTGTTCCAAATGGAAGCTCCCAATGGGGAGCGCTTAATATCTCAAAATCTTTCAATCCCATGTTTGGGTCATCCAAGAAATTTTTCTCGGCTTCTGTTCCTGGGTCAAGAATTGTTTCTCGAGCAACATCGCCAATATCAAGACGGCCCAGCCCACCTCGTTCAACAACTCCAACGCCAACACTGGGAGGACTTACCTCCCCAAAGATTGTTGTGGATGATGCAAAAAGGACCAATGATAGCCTTAGCCAAGAGGTTATTAAATTAAGAGCTCAGGTATATAATTTTCTCTAATTCTGCATCTACTTATTGTTTTTGATATTTATGAAGAATACTGCTATTAGAATTTTATTGGAGAACTTCCTTTCTATAGTCTGGCTTGAGAGGTGTTTACTTCTTCATTTGCTTCGATTATGGAAGATTGTTAAATCTGACTTATTTACTATCATTCTCTCTCTGTCTTTTCATTTGAATAATTTTAATTTAATCAAAATTTTATTTCCATAATGAGATCCAGATCATGGAACTTTTGGAGTTTATCTAGGGATTGTGGACATTATTTTAGTAAGTATCAAGATTTGAATGTTTTTATTTGTTCCCTTCTATCCTCCCTCTTTACTGAAGTGGAGAGGCAATGTAACAAGTTGGTAGAATGATTAGCAGAAAGGCTGGCTTATTCTACTTTGCATTTTAGTTGTCAACGACTCAACTTGTGGACATTTGCTTGACATCTGCAGCTATAACTTGTGAAAATGGATTTGTTAGCCAGTATTAATGATGGAATTTAAAATAAAGTTTTGGTTGGTTACGTTCTTTAAAATTTAATAGTTGATATCATCTCTATTGGGGTAAACTTGGTGAAGCGTAAATCAGTCCAATGGAAATGGTGCATTCATATAAATCCATAGGGTGGTATTTATGTGAATGAAAGTGTATGTGCTTCCTTTTACAAATTATATATCACTTATCAAATCATTTTTAGTGTTTGAAATGCTTTGGTGTCAGGTTTGGGATGCCTTAGTCCACTATTCAGTTTAACTTAGGTTATTTTTAGTCTTAAAAATAGATTGTGGGCTAGATATTAGCTGTTTCAAATTGACACAAAGTTGGGGAACTATCATGGTAGAGATCTTTATCTTTTTCCCTTCAATTTTATATTAACTAATTTCTTGATTATTTTTTTTTTTCCAAATTTTAGGGTTGAAACAAGTACCATTTAATACCTTCAATTTAGCCATTAGCATTTTGGAGGGATCTTTAAGCTTTATCTCTGGCCTAAAAGCTGTATTTGGGCTCTAAGTCTACAAGTTATACTCTTGCCCATATGTCTTTTTATTTTTGCTTGACAACTAATGATATTTTCTCTCAGGTGGAGAATCTTACTCGCAAAGCGCAGCTTCAAGAAGTTGAGCTGGAAAGGACAACGAAACAGCTGAAGGAGGCAATAGCAATTGCAGGGGAAGAGACTGCAAAATGCAAAGCAGCAAAGGAAGTTATCAAGTCTCTGACTGCCCAAGTAAGAAGGATGTCTATTTACATAAAGTAACAATTACCCTGTTGTTTGGAAGTGGCAAGGAATTAAAATCACTCTTAGCGGACTCTATATGCTGAAATTTTTTCTTCTTTATTTATTTTCTATATTACTTGGAATTGGTTCGGTAGTTAAATTATTTCATGAAGTTTGATTGCTTTCTGGATGCATGCGTAACTGCTTTGTTCTGCAAAAAAGTATTTAAACTATATTTATGCTGAGAAGGGAATTAATAGTGGTAGAAGCCACTTATCCTAGGTTGTAAACCCTCTTATGGATTGACTTGTACCTTCAAAGGGCTTTTGTGTTCTGCAAGGTCATCACTCTCTGATTCTGCCACTCGTTGACTCGTATCCCTGTGCAATAAACCAATACGTTTTAATGAGGATACTGTGTCGGTTTGATAAGAGTATCCCTTTTGTGAGTTTTAGTGAAGGTGATTTCAGTACATATTTATTATGGTGTTTTTAGCACCTCCAGCTTCGTCAATAGCTGGCACACAATATTCAATTGCAAACATGTTTTAAAAAGCCATGACATTCAATTCTTTGTTTCATCGGTTAACTGAGTTTACTTGTGCTTTCCTCGATTCCTCTATATTGACCGTAACATTTCTTTCTTATGGTGAATAGTTAAAGGATATGGCTGAGAGGCTTCCTGTGGGAGCAGTACGGAACATCAAGTCACCTACCTTCACTTCTTTTGGTTCCAGTCCTGCTTCCAACGATATACTTAATGTTTCGCTTGACCGACTGACTGTTCAAACAGCATTTCCAGAACCGGAGTCCAATGGATCAAACAATCAGTTGCTTTCTAATGGGTCTAGCACTGCCAGTACTCGCACTTCAGGTCATACCAAACAGGGACATTTGGAAGCAGCAACACGAAATGGGAATAGGACGAAAGAAGGTGAATCACGTAATGATAATTAATGGGTGGAGCAAGATGAACCTGGTGTATATATATAATATAACACTTACCTCCCTCCCTGGCGGCGTCAAGGATCTAAAGCGAGTTCGCTTCAGGTAACACTCATTTCTCTTATGTTTAAAAAATGTTCAATTTTCCTACTTTACTAGGCACCCTTGACTTTAACAGTATAATGTTAATGCAGTCGGAAGCGTTTTAGCGAGAAACAAATGGAGCAGTGGTGGGCAGAGAACAGGGCTAGAGTATACGAACGATACAATGTACGAATGATTGACAAGTCAAGTGTAGGCATCGGGAGCGAGGACTTGGCTCATTAACACACCATCTTATAAAAGCGTCTGTAAATGTAATGGTAATGGTCTTTCTTGATTTCAACACCATTTATAGGGAGTTCATATTGATCAAATTAGATTTACTTTCCATCTGTTATAAAATGGGTAGGTGGAAGCAAGATTGGTGTAAAGACAGTGAGAGTTAAGAGGGGTTTGATTGTGGTTTTTATTTTTCCCTCGATTTTTTTTTTTTAACATTTTTCCCTATTTGATCCTTGTGTGATGGGGGGAGTTGAGGGTGAGAAATGTAAATTCCTATTAGGGTTCCATGTAAATTCATAAAGCAAAAAATGCATATGCTGAGTTCTTTTATCTGGTAAATCACATAAGTTGAAGCTTGTGAAAGCATCTGCCATTGTATATTAACAGGGAAATGCAAACCCATTTAATTGTTTTCCGAAAATCGTTGGGTCGTTTGAGATTTAACAATCGAAAATTAGAATATTACGCTTTATTAGCATTGGTAATTGTTAAAATACATTACCTTATTTAAATATTTTCGTATCAAAAGTTGTCAGATTTATTTTCTTTAGTACTCCCTTCGTTTTCTTTTAATTGTAGTTTTAAGACTTTTTAAAATTTTCAAAATTAAAGTCGTTCCGCCTTTTTCTTGTTGCATCTTTGATCATGCCTTCTCCACTTATTATCATCCCTCTCTCTTTCCATTCCATCTTGTCATTTCTCTACTTTTTGCCTCTGTCTCTCTTTAATCTTTAATCTTTTATCTTATCTCTTCCCCTCTTCTCTTCTCTTCCTTATTTTCCATCCCCACTTCTTATTTCTCTAATCTGTCTCTGCTTCCATCTTTTCTCTCTTTTTCTTGTCTTCCTTCTATATGTTCCTCTCTCCACTTATTTGAAGCACCCTGTCATCTTCAATCTCCACCTTCACTTCCTCTTTCTTGAGCCCTGGAAGATCAGCCTTGAACTCGTGAGTTTTTGGGGTTTCCTTCCAGTTCACACGGGTGTTAAAAATGTTATTTATATAAATGGGAAAGTTTCCCACTTTCAAAGTCTCTCCCATCTGCGAAATCAAGGAAAAAAATGGTGGGAGAGAGAAATTTTGTTTTTTTATTAAAACCTGTGCCCACACTTAAAACGTCAATTAAAAGAAAACGGGAGGAAGTATTTGTTAATGGCATTCGATGTTGCAATTTGTACCTAACAATTCTCATATAATAATAAATAACCGTAAAAAATTCAGGAGATGAAATAAGTTAATTCAAACTCGGGGTATTATTATAAACTATTCCTAAGGTTTGCGTTTATATCATGTGGAGAATAATTTTACTAATTTTTATCAAAGATATCCCGTACAACTAGACCTGGCAAAACGGGTATGGACCCGCGGGTCGGTCCGTACCCGGGTAAAAAATATAGGGTATGGGTTCAATAAACTAAACCCATTTTTGTTTGACCCGTACCCGTACCCGGTCCAATAAATTACGGGTCATACGGGTGAACCCATGGGCACCCGCGGGCACCCGTATAAGCCTTCTATTCTGTTTTGAACTGAATGAATCCCTAAAACTAAAAGTCTTTTATTTTTTATCACAGACTTGAGACTTCACAGTTCACGCCTGAGGCCTCCCTCTCACGCCTGACGCCTCCCTCTCACGCCTCCCTCTCACGGAGTCACAGTCATCACGAATCCATCTCATCTCTGATCTCTCGACTCTCAGTCTCAGATCGCGGCCGCATCGTCACTTCGTCATCAGTCTCTCATCAGTCATCGCCTCATCAGTCTTCTTCGATTAATATTCATCACTTCGTTACTTCGGTAACGAAATAGAGGCTCAGAGAGAGATCAGAAGCGAAGTTCGGCAAAAACAGGTTTCTTCAAAAACAAATCCTTTTCGATTATTTTTTTTTTTTTATTTTTTTGGGAAGTGAATGAATTTTTACTGGAATGAAGAGTTTTTAGGAAGAATTGTTTGAGTTTCTTTCATAGTTGCTTATGTTTGGTTTGGTACAGTTTGATGGACCCTTATGGTTTGGAAAATTGACAAATAGGTCCCTTTGTGAGAGAGGTTTATGGTTAATTTGATGAGATTTAAAGAGGTTTGGGGTGATCTTAGGGGAATTTATGATGATTATCATAGTTTAAGAGAAGTTTTTGATGGTTTTGGAAACCAATGGGATCTTTTTTAAATTCGTACTTTAGTGATAATGAATTTTTTTTTGGAATGAATTTTGCTTGGTTTTCTTTTTTGTGGTTGGTATAGTTTTATGTTTCAGTTTGTGCTTGGTTTTAAATTTTGTTGTTTGGTTACTTAGAAAGTGGAGGAAAGTTATGGAAATGAATTGGAAAGAGTAGAATAGCAATGGATCTTGTTTATGTGTTCTCTTTCTGGGTTTGTGATGATTGAAATGAACAGAAAAAAAAAAAAAAAAAATGAACCTTCATGTTCTGTACATACCAATTCAGCCATATCAATATGCTAGTTAAAGCATTCAAGGAGTCAGTAAAATGGGAGTTGCTTTGGCTATTGTGAGACACAGCAGAATGGTCCAGCACTGGGAAACTAAGAAAATGAGTGCCCTTTAGCAGCCAAGGGCAATTTTATTCAGCTTGGAAGAGTTATTGAATTAAATTCTTTGTTGGTTCACTGATCAATTTTGTTTTAGCTCAACATTTTTATTATTAAAAAAAAAAAAAAAAAAGTATGGTTTGCCGCTTGGAACCTCCAGGTGCTTGCTGTCTTGTAAACACATCTTATAAATCATAAATTTATTTTGTTGGCTTGAAACCTCTTGTTACTCTTTCATTTTACAGATTTTTTATCTTCTTTGACGTAGTAATGCTAAATCAATTGAAAGGGTTCTACTTGCTAAGGAAAACTCATTCAGAGGTTGGTATGGCATTTGTTATGAGTGAATAATGATTTGAGAATTGAGAGCAATTAGCGCAGGAGTGGGAGGTCATTACCAAATGTTTGAAATAGTGCAACTGGCTTTTAGAAAATGATAAAAGGTATAGTTGCGTTGGCCACTAGCTATTGTTGAGATTATCTAGAAATACAACTGTCAGAGGCTTATTTGATCTCACTGGGATAATTGATTGCTATGTTAAGGTGATCTTCACAAAGTATAACCAGTGGTGCAGTCTGAGGTTACATTGTGGATGAGATTCATTCCAGAAGTTTTTGATTACTTGAAAGCAAAATTGCTTTGCACCTATAAGTGTCTAATGGATATGAATTTGAGGTAACATGTTAACTAATATTTCGATTTTATTATTTATATTTATTATATTTGTAGTTGATCATTGTTTTGTAGATAATGAGGTGAAAGATGATTCAGATGATGATCTTGATGTGCCATTACTGATCTCGAGACCGTGGAATCAAGAGACTCTATCACGCCCACTGTGGAATGACATTTGCTGTCTTAAGAATTTTTTTGTGAATATTGGATTATGTATTTGTTATTTTAATTGGTATTTATAGTTTATTGACTTATTTGGTTTGTTTATGTTAATTGTGTATTAGTGATTTTGTATTTGTTTTGTTTTGGTTGGTATTTGTAGTTTTGTATTATAGTTATTGTTTGTTTAGTGTTATTTGTTTTTTTGGTTCATATTTGTTTATATTCTTAATTGAATTGAATTTAGAGTAGTTGATTTAGGGGGTGTAAATGTAAAAAATTAAAACTGCAGGAATTTTGGGGGTGTAATTGTCATAATTGAAAACTGTTAGGGGTGAAACTGTCAAAACTGAAAGCTGGAGAGAGAAAAAACGGTCCACCCGCGGGTCCACCCGTACCCGTATAGGGTAGGGCACGGGTCCAAAATATTGGACCCGTATATATCCACCCGTATAAGACCCGTACCCGTTTCACCAGTACCCGTTTTACCCGGCCCGTACCCGACCCACCCACCCGTTTTGCCAGGTCTAGCTCTAGGGCACCTACTTTAAAGGGAAGTTATCTCACGGCGCTATTCAGTAAATGGCAATGACACTAAAATTGTGGCCACATGGGATTGAGTTGTTGCTCTATCCAGTTTATAATTCAGGCCATTGGTCCAGTAACTGAACATATAATATTGAGAGTAACCGAGGTTGACACTATTTCTATGCCCTGTTCTTGTTGAGATAACAGATGATGAAAGGATTGGATTGTACGGTAACCATATCGTTGACAGGTAGCTGCTTCGCTGAATCCGAATCTATCGGGTGGCTATGATGCCTTGCTAGGGGCCAATCTTGGTATGTGTGTAGTGAGACTATTAATTGGTGTTAGTCGTGATACTACACACTACCGATATGATGAGGAGCCTGCGAGTCACATACATAGAAGATAATTTAAGAGCCAGTTTATAAGAACGGCGTTTTCGTCTTTTTAGGCAAAAAGGGTATTTTAGTAATCTCACATTGCAATTAAATTTGTTGAGGTCATAGCCTTTATTTAATTTGATATTAAAATTAAATAAGTGAGATTACGTTTAAATAAGTGTTCGCATATATTTAAACAAATTATTACTATTGTTAAATGTTAATAATTAAAATCAAAATATCTAAATGGGGTTGTTTGGATACAAGGGGTGTTTGGGTTGGTGCCCAAGTCTATTCCATGATGGAATAGGGCAAAGTGTGCACTATATAAGTGCAACACTTTGTGAATTAAAATTAATTTATTCAATTATTGAGATTAAAATATTCCAACCCCCTTTCTCTTCATCCCACGCCAGTTTGCCTTTTTGCTTGCATCAAATA